CTTCAATGCAGGTTTTGATATCTAGATTGCAGACAGATGCACTAGTAAATCCTGCTATCACAGGCAATCCCATCGCGTTATGCCTTTTCCATCTCGATCGCTGTCTTTCTTCACAATTACTCTCCAAACAGAACACTTCTAGCTCGAACGGCATCCCAAGGCCGCTTTTACGTCCTCGCAACCATGTCACGACGACAAGCACCTTCAGGTGTACAGTGCTGAAAAATGACTGAGATAAGCCGCTCACCTTGTGCACAAATCTCGTACCCTATATTTGCCTCGTCCGCGCATTAATGCAAAGTAACCAAAACGGAATTGCATGACAAAAATAATTGTTTATTGAATGTTGAAATTCAATGAAGAAAAATATGACATTGTCTTATTAGTCTCAAAACAGAACACTTCTAGCTCGAACGGCATCCCAAGGCCGCTTTTACGTCCTCGCAAACATGTCACGACGACAAGCACCTTCAGGTGTACAGTGCTCAAAAATGACTGAGATGAGCCGCTCACCTTGTGCACAAATCTCGTACCCTATACTTGCCTCGTCCCCGCATTAATGCAAAGGAAGCAAAACGGAATTGCATTACAAAAATAATTGTTTATTGAATGTTGAAATACAATGAAGTAAAATATTACATTTTCTTCAGACCGTGGTCGTCTTCGATTTTTGGCATCTCCTCTGCCAAACGCTCTCGAGCCTCCGCCTTGTAATCGCAGTCACAATCATGCTGCTCAGGATATTTGTGGAGCTGGCAAAACCGTAGACCACAATTACACATGATGACTTGTTCTGGAAGCAGAAACAACGAGAAAATACAGACAAATGGAAGGTGATCAAACAGCGTTACCGTGATTGAGGTCAAGCAGAAAGGGTGGGTGGCCGCACGACGCCACAAGGATGGGGTTGAGAAGGAATACAGATTTATTATTATTATTACTTGCATGTACGCGTTGCAGTCAACCGTGCAAGCATGATTCACAACTTCGCTTATGCTGAACATGATAAACAGGACTATGACAGGGGAAAAATGGAGCTAGAACGATGATATAATTATGATAACTATATCAAAAGGCGACGAGGAGACAATAACTTTATTAATGCGATTAATAGTATTAATCACAATCCTAATCTAATCTATCTAATCTAATCTAATCTATGCATTCAGAAAGAAATGTCACAAAACTGAGACTCTTCACCTAGCATTCACACACGTATTCATTCGCATACACCTACACCTCACAGTTCCTCACTCTATCACATTCACCTGCTTCCACGCCTTCATTTCACTCACCTTGTGTAGTAGCTCACACCGTCAGAACACTCTCACATCTTTTCTTCTAATTTCTTTCGTCTTCTCTCCCACTTTAGTTTTTTTTCACACCTCACCTTGTATACTTCCCACTATCCGATAACCTATAAGTAGTTTGTTTCTCCGTATAGCCTCTATTGTGAGACGATTTTCCCTGATGATAGTCTCAAGAAAATCGATTAGGAACAACCATTTTAGATACATGTATTCTCATTCATCATTTTGTAATGTCCGCTTCACTAATACTATTAATCGCGATAACTATATCATTATATATACCTCAGATTTACCTATAAAAATATAAAATATAATAAGATTCGCTTTCGTTGTAAACGACGTATGCAATCATTGGCGATTTATCACAATTTTACATACCCGAAAGGCTCAGCCTCTTCCAACAGATAAAACGGTTCTCCTTGCCGTAGCGAGCATACTCGCATCTGTGCACGTTCGGTCGGTGCGTCTTCCATGGCACTTTGTGGCGAGGGAGCGGCTTCAGCTTGAAAACCCTCTTAGCCTCCGGCTGCGAAGGGGCGTCGGTGCCTTCCTCCGACTGCGACGAGGTTCTTTTTCCTTGCTGGCTGGCCATTTTGAGTCTGCAGTTGACCTCTTTCTTGCAGCAAAAGCGATGACCACTAATCCGTCATCAGTAATCCGTCATGCAAGGAAACAGAACAAAGAACTAGTAGCTAGAAAGGGTATTTATACTTATAGAAACAAATTTTGAGCCCAGATACGTAGTGAGTACAGAAAAGAACTTAAATTAGGTTATATAGTTGTCGTAGTATGGTACATGCACATATCTAAGGTATAATCAATCTGGAGACAGAACTGTTTCGTCCTTCGTGAACTCATCAGCTCGTCCAATGTTGATCTAGATCTGCTTGCACACACTCGTGGAAACATATTTGAGCCAAGATACGTAATGAAAAACAAACAAACAAACAAAAAAAGAAAAAAAACAGGTGATAATGTGCCAGTAACAATACGCCCAAAACATGCCGTTTTCGTCCAGACAGCCATGACAACATGGAACGTGGTGGGAAAATCGTACCCCTGAATGCGTATCGCACGTATCTACATATCTACGGTAAACTCAATCTGCGGGCAGAACTGTTTCATCCTTTGTGGACTCGTCAGTGCAGCCAGCGCCGATCTAGATCTGCTCGCATACCCTCGTGGATTCAACCAGTTCCGAAGTACTGGTGCGATATGTATGGAGTAGATATCTTAGGGCAGGGTTGCTCGGATCCAAATCCGAAGGATCTGGATCTGGATCCGACCAATCGATCACTGCAGATCCAGTGGATCCGACGGATTTGGATCTGGATCCGACCAAACGATCACGAAAAAAAGGAAATTTGGAGTTTTACGTTGAGTTAACAAGGACAAATAAACAGACAGGGTTGAGAGAGGATGGAAGTGTAAAGAAAGAGTGGAGTTCATAACCACCCTAGGTAAAACTCACCTTGTCATTAAACCAAACGAGATAAATTCTCAAATCTTATAGGATCCTTCCTATACATACTCACTAAAACCTTGATTTACAGCGTGGATGGGTTTCGACTTTTACTTTCATACTTCCACTGACAAAAATGGGTTAGAGAGACGGACCGACGTATGTTGCATCCTGTATCTGGTTGGTTGGTTTTTATTTCACTTCGCACATTCAAACGGGATGACGACCCAATAAAATGACAGCGAAGGCTTAGCCTAGAAGTGGCCATGGAAGAACATAGTAAAAGCTATGGAAGCACATAGTAAGAGAATAGGATAATAATAACTGCGGGTAAACGGGGGGAGAGAGAGAATACGATGTATCTGTGATACTACGTGCGGGTTACTGAACTGCACGGGGAGGGAGAGCAGAGCGATCAGCAGCAACTCGAACTACTCCCTACAGGCGTATGGTACACTTCTGCTGTTTCCATTGATAGTTGCTACCCATGTGTTAACGGCAATCAATAAGACAAGCTGAATCGACATTGGTGTACACTTTATTCATGCAATATAAAACAGTGGAGACAATGTGCAATAAAAAGATGAAAATATGAAGAAATAGTGTAGAGAAAATAAGGATTCAAACAAGTGTTCGTACAACAATCATCAGGCAGGAATTGCACATTGTCTCCACCGTTCTACATTGCATGATTAAAGTGTACACAAATGTCGATTCAGCTTGTCCTATTTATTGCGGTTATCAAATACCTCGCCGTTTGTTCAAATACCCATGTGTAGTATTTCTTTCCTTAACACTATGTAAAAGTCCTCAGTCTGTGATGAATGAGATAGCCAAGGTGTTTAACCTTCTTTGACATTGTACTGTTGAGGACACGACTCGTATCGATATGTCCTTTTCTCTTCTACATTTATTTATGGCTTAACATCCGAGTTTCAAATTGCACACCTGATGAGCCGTCACGAACCATACGGCGAAACGTACGTCGTGTGAAACAACTTGTTTTGTAGTCAACTAGTCCATCACAATGTCATGCATGAGGAGTACTGTAGGAGTTTGGCTTTCGGCTTGTACAATTCGTTTTCGCAAAGCTTCCCTTTCTTTATTTATCTTTGATATTTATGACCCACCCAAGTTGGGTGGTGTGCTGCTTTGCTGCTTCGAATTGTAGTTAGACCGCTTTGTCAAATATCGTACTGGTCTCGTCATCGTCCAGTAACAATCGACATTCTTTGTTCCGTTGGGACTGTAGCTTTTGCTCATTTTCGTTGCGCTCGCCTTCCCCTCTTTGGTCTTTCCATAACCTTGAACCTTCCAAGTTGGAAGGCTGTCGGTTAGCGCTACGGAGATGTGTTGAAGCTAGGTGTCAGGACGTCGAATGTTTCAGTACTCTGTCAGTTTTGTGCCTAGTTATTGCACTTTCTGACTGTATATAGTATCATGTTACAGTGATGGAGAGTTACTCTTAACTCGTGTCGATATGTCCTTTTCTCTTCTACATTTATTTATGGCTCAACATCCGAGTTTCAAATTATTATTATTATTATTATTTATTCTTGTTTTACAAGGGAATTCCCAACAGGCGGCGACGCCTTTTTACAGGGAACCCTAGGAACATTTTGATACATGCGCGAAATTCAGCTGGTGACTTAGGCGTACGGCAAGCCGGTGGCAATCCATAGCAGCAGCAGCAGCAGCAGCAGCAGCAGCATGACTACGAACAAAGAAGATGTGAAAATGATAGAGACTGGTGTCATGTTCTCTTTACGCCTCTTTACCTATCACACCAATACAGCGCGATGTGACAGTAACCTAGACGCTGATGTAGATGATGGTGCTAGAAAGCATAAATTGGAAATTCAATTTCATAACCATTGGAAGCATTCTTCAATGCAGGTTTTGATATCTAGATTGCAGACAGATGCACTACTAAGTCCTTCTATCACAGGCAATCACATTGCGTTATGCCTTTTCCATCTTGATCGCTGTCTTTCTTTACAATTACTCTCAAAACAGAACACTTCTAGCTCGAACGGCATCCCAAGGCCGTTTTTACGTCCTCGCAAACATGTCACGACGACAAGCACTTTCAGTTGTACATTGCTCAAAAATTACTGAGATGAGCCACTCACCTTGGCTTGGGCACAAATCTCGTTGGGCACAAATCTCGTACCCTATATTTTCCTCTTCCGCGCATTAATGCAAAGGAAGCGAAACGGAATTGCATAACAAAAATAATTGTTTATTGAATGTTGAAATTCAAGGAAGAAAAATATTACATTTTCTTCAGGCCGTGGTCGTCTCCAATTTTTGGCATCTCCTCTGCCAAACGCTCTCGAGCTTCCGCCTTGTAATCGCGGTCACAATCATGCTGCTCCGGATATTTGTGGAGCCGGCAAAACCGTAGACCACAATTACATATGATGACTTGTTCTGGAAGCAGAAACAACGAGAAAATACAGAAGGTGATCAAACAGCGATTCCGTGATTGAGGTTATGCAGAAAGGGTGGGTGGCCGCACGACGCCACAAAGATGGGGTTGCGAAGGAATACAGATTTATTATTAGTATTACTTGCATGTACGCGTTGAAGTCAACCATGGAAGCATGATTCACAACTTCGCTTATGCTGAACATGATAAACAGGACTATGACAGGGGACACATTGAGCGAGGACGATGATATAATTATGATAACTATATCATAATATATACCTCAGATTTACCTATAAAAATATAAAACATAATAAGATTTGCTTTCGTTGTAAACGAGGTAAGCAATCATTGGTGACTGATTACATTTTTACATACCCGAAAGGCTCAGCCTCTTCCAACAGATAAAACTGTTCTCCTTGCCGTAGCGAGCATAATCGCACCTGTGCACTTTCGGTCGGTGCGTCTTCCTTGGCACTTTGGAAGGAGGGAGCGGCTTCACCTTGAAAACCCTCTTAGCCTCCGGCTGCGAAGGGGCGTCGGTGCCTTCCTCCGACTGCGACGAGGTTCGTTTGCCTTGCTGGCTGGCCATTTTGAGGCTGCAAGTGACCACTTTCTTTCAGCAAAAAAATGAAGACCACTAATCCGTCATCAGTCATGCAAGGAAACAGAACAAAGAACTAGTAGCTAACAAAGGTATTTATAATATTTGAGCCCAGATACGTAGTGAGTACAGAAAAGAACTTAAATTAGGTTACGGAGTCGACGTAGTATGGTACATGCACATTTCTAAGGTATACTCAATCTGGAGACAGAACTGTTTCGTCCTTCGTGAACTCATGAGCTCGGCCAATTTTGATCTAGATCTGCTTGCATACACTCGTCGAAACATATTTGAGCCCAGATACGTAATGAAAAACAAACAAACAAAAAAGGTAAAAACAACAGATGATAATGTACCATTCACAATACGCCCAAAACGTGACGTTTTCATCCAGACAGCCATGACGACATGAAACGTGGTAGGAATATCGTACCCCTGAGGCCCTGATACGATAACGTAGACGATGTATCCAGACCCCTGTACCGAGTTTCGTTCTGTCGTTCCCAGCAGTTTGTGTCCAAAGAAGCTGTACACACAGCTGTACGAGCAGCGTGTGCGTGCCTGTGTGAATGCACCTACATGAAAACGACGTCTGGCAGTACGTCGTATTCCAAAACGTGACGTGTATTGTAACGTAGTATGAATAGCGTATATGTATCGCACGTATCTACATTTCTACGGTAAACTCAATCTGCGGGCAGAACTGTTTCACTCTTTGTGGACTCATCAGTGCAGCCAGCGCTGATCTAGATCTGCTCGCATACACTCGTTGACTCAATCAGTTCCGATGTACTGGTACGATATGTATGGTGTAGATATCTTAAACATCTCACCCGGAAAAGCAATAGATGATACACTAAGGAACGATCGTGCAAAATTGTACTCCGCACATTTCAATCTTCGCAAGTAGTTCACGTGTACTCTGCAGATGCAACTACATTTCAATCTAGACAGATAAATGTAGTTCATGGCCACCATTCATAACTATATAACGAGAGAGCTTGGAAGCTCAGGGCCCTACGCTATGCTTTTTGCCTTGATGACCTAGACAAAAAAAAGGATAGGGATGTTAAAAATTCCTTAAAAAATCTTTTTTTTTAAGACATAACCTGGGATTCGAACTCGCACTATCGCGCGCCCTGCATGCATCCCCGATACACTTCGCAAACAAACTAATTCTTCCAAGTTGCTTCACGTTTAATATGATCTTGCATTTGAAAGCCCTATTTGAAAAATGCATTGTGGCCAGCCGTCTTTGATGGTACGGTACGGTGCGGGATAGGTACGGGACAGGTACGATCGAGGGTAATATGACACCGTCTACCGCCTTGATGAAGCATAGGGATGTTATAAATTTTTCAATTCTCCTTTTTTTTCAGGCATATCCTGGGATTCGAATCCGCACTATCACCCCACATGCATTCCCCCATACACTTCGCATCTCCTGCTACCCTTTCCACAACAGTATGAATCTCAAACAACCCCTCATACAACCCAGCCACTGTGCTGCAGATGCTGAATCCTGTTGTTCTTAACCCTTTGTGTACCAGCCCCATCTCGAACCGTAACGTACGTTACGGTTCGACGCACCGCACTGCGCCGCGCCGTTCGGCGGCGTCCTTGCTCCGATCGACTCGCGGTTTTCTGCGCTGGGCAGCTGAGATCCCACTGCAAATTTTGATGTATGATGTGGGTAGGTTGCCATTTGAAAGTATGGAGAACGATCGCGGCGAAAAGTGCGCTTTGCAATTTCAGCGCTCTGCGATATATTTTATCAATTTCGATCGTGTTTTCGTTCGGTTACGCTGCTTGTATCTGGAGTATAGCTTGCTCTAGCTGTTGTCGATGTCTTGTACCCAAAATAGGCAACATCAAAATGCTATACGAAAAGGACTAAAAGGATCAAAGTTTGGGGTTACGGCAAAGGAATAGTGATAAATACGATATTCTATATTTTGCCTATTTTAAGCACAAGAGGGTAAGAACAACAGTATTTGCAGCATAGTGGCTGGGTGATATAAGGGTTGCTTGGGATTCGTACTGCCCAAGGTCGAAAGATTAACGTCTAAGTGGTCAATATAAACATTCGTTATAAACAGTTATAAACAGCCTGGCATGAGTAAAACATGGATGTGGCAAATGTGATTTAGGCCTTTGGCCTCTGGTTGGTGGATTTGATCTATCCTCCCCCACCGTTTAGGAGCCGAATCGGACGCCTGATCATGGGGTGGTGGCGTCCCACGGAAGCGGGAAGGTGGGTCTTGACCAGGGAGTTGTACGACTCCTTGTTTTTGACCTGCCCGGTACGGGAACCCGTCGAATTTATTTTTATATTTTTATACACAGTCGATATTACGGCTATATGCGTATTACAGGATCAGCCAAGGATCACAAGTGCACGAACCGTTGGCTGACCAACTGAAATGCTCTTTGCACTTTCAGCATCATTGAGCGGACTGTCTGGTCACACTGCATTCAGCGGCAGCTGAGTGACTGAAAATTGTTCAAGTGTTCGGGATTTTTTCAAATTTTCTGATCATTCTTGCTCTGAAATAGATCACATGCAACCTCCTTCACGAGTTATCTTCGAAAAGAAAAAGAATCCAGCTGAAACCAACAAGAGCCTAGCTGTTCTGCAACGACCGTCTAGGTTTTCCTGAGCTGACGGCGATCATCAAACCTTTCCGGCTTTTGTTACCTTTCGTGTCTTGAGAGAATACTTGTCAATTTGTCAGCTTCACAACAGGTCTATTCTCCGGCTGCAGAGTCCTTTCGGCAGAAGATATGGTGGGGAAGACACTCACATTGAAAAAGACATGAAAATACCACGGGAGAAAGACGGTAAAACAGAAATTTGGACGATAGATCGAAACTCACTGAAAAGCATGATTAAGACGCTGCAGCCAGAATGCGTCTGGCGGAATTCAGCCCGACTTGTTTAGGCTGAGAGACGCTGAAAGACGCTCAGCGGAAAAGCTGCGCAATTCAGGCGTTACCATGGAAAAGGCGAGAACTTTCCGCGCGTTTTCGGCTGAATAGAGAGGTTAAGTTTCACGTAAAAGTCTTACGTCCGTGAACTTTTACGTCAAAAGGGAAAAAACTCACGTAAAATTTGACGTGTTTTACGTGAGTTGACTGTCCCGCACGTAAGTTCATGACGTGAGTTTTTGGAAGTTTCGCTTGGTTATCCCGACCGAATTTGTGTGAGTTTCCGGAATTTTATCGAGATTTATCGAGTTTGTTGGAAGATTTGATATCTGTGCGAACTAAACCCGAATCCTGCCAGGCAAAATTTCACGTCACGTCACACGTGTAACTTAACCTCTAAAAATTACACGTAACGTGAGATTTGCACCGCGTTTTGAAAAAGGGCAAAAAACGTGTAACTTAACCTCTCTAATGGCTGAAAAATGCGCAGTGAGACCGCGGCCCTATATGGCCTAGTGGAGGGAGATATAGTAGAGTGAGTGGATGAATACAGGCGATGCGTGCGTAGAAGTGAAACCTATGTCTAGCGGTACTCTAAATGAATATTCAAAGTGTGTAGCCACACTATTTGTATAAACTCCACAGTGTACTCAATACAACCCCACGGTCCGATCCGAAACATTGTAAAAAAGCGAATTCTAGCAAATCTGGTGCGTTCCATCACCTACAAGTCTACTCAATGTCCACCCATTGCTCCCAAAGTTCAACACTGAAAAACCGATATTCGAGTTCATTATGGCAGCAAGAAGACGTCCGCGATATGAAGACGAGTATGTTGTCGATGTGGAGTCGCAAGTTGTGCGCAAGAAGGACATGTTCCCTGAAGGCTTGAAGGTGTTCATTGTGGTATTCTCCGTCTGTCTGGTACTGTGGTTTATATACGAATTGTTCCAGCGAATGTAACGTTCTGAAACTCGAGGCCTCTCAAATCTCCGCAAACGTGGCCATAACGTGTGTTTTTCAACACCATACGAGCACCCTTAATACCATGGAACCAACAGCATTGTGACGCCCGTACTGTGTTGGAGCCCTAAGTCTGAAGTGTCACCCCTATGCTCATTAAATGTATTACATGATTGTATTATGGAAGAAGCAAAATTATTTGTCAGTATATACCACGTGTGATGATGCTGGTTTGTGAGGTCGGATAGAGAGCGCGCGTGGTCGAGATGGAATCGTTTCATTGGTTTCAAATGATGTAGCTGTTCCAGTATAGGATTGTTCGAGAGTTGGGGAAAGGAGTTATTGAAGATGAACCTTTTAACCCCTAAAATGAAGCTAAAGCTTATTGAGTATACTCATTATGTCCGTATTGCTGCTACTGCCGCCAGAATAGCCGCCGAGTACATACCAGAATGATATCGATTGTCAAAGAATCAAAAGTTTATAGGTCCCCATTACTGTATACCTTGGCAACCACCTAGTCAAGGTGTTTAGGAATCCAGAGATGGCGGCAATCAAAGGTGCAAGTCTGATGAGGCTTTAGTTTTTACTATGTTCACTTGGCCAACTCGAAATATAATGTCCACCGAACCTGGTACCGATCAGTCCCAGTTACGACCACTGGCTTATAGAGTAGAAGTCTCGAGTACTTGGGCGTATAGAAGGTCACAGGCCTAATTAAATTATTTTGGAACTGGGAAATGGCTTAGAATGTAATTTAAAAAGAATGTCCTACTAATTTTGTGCACACCTTTGTGAGAAGTATCACACGTTGATATTTTAGTGTTCTCATTGTACCTGAGCTGTTGTTTTTGTCCACATAATTATTTATTTTACGAGTTGGGTTTGTGAATATTAGTAAAAAACAAACAAAAAAGACCGTGCTACTGTAACTTGATTGCTATATTATTCAATTTAGTCAAGGATCACAAGGGTAAGTGGAGGGCGATATAGAAGAGTGGTAAAGGGTGAATACATAATATTCCTGTTCGTTATGGCAGAAAGAAGGCGTCCGCGATATGAAGACGGGTATGTTGCCGACGTGAGTAGGATGTTATGCGCAAGAAGGACATACAGGTGTGCATTGTTATATTCTCCTCTGTCTTCTACTTTGGTTTATA